ATGTGTGCTGTCTGTGCAGCTGTCTGTGGTTGTTTGTGGCTGTCTGTGGGTGTCTGTGTGCTGTCTGTGGGTGTCTGTGGGTGTCTGCGGGTGTCTGTGGGTGTCTTCATGTTTTACTATTACCCCTTAAATTTTCATTTATTCAGATTGGACGTAAAAGTGATCACTTATAAGAGCCTGATCTATTTAAGAAAAAGTTTGTCTGAATTATATATGTTAATATAATCTAGTTATACTTGTCTTATAGCTAGCTCATTTTCTTCTAAATTAACAAATTACACTTAATGTACATATTCTGTATATAATATTTTGTAATTTGTATACTTAGAATCTATTTCTTAGAAAAGGATTACTTTTTGTTTTTGAGATATATGCCTGTGAATATGTTGTCTGTTTTGCGACTATTTCGTATTCCAGCGTTACATAACATTTCATGTTATAATAAGTTTTATATAAATGTGTAGAGGAGGTTAATTTTCTTTTCTACTTGGCTTGATTATTTCTTGAAAGAGAATTAATCGCTATGTATCAAAAGATTATTGTTTTATAGTTTATTCTACTCTGATACTATATAGACTTTTCTATAAGAGGCGTTTTTCTGTTTAAAGAATAAAATAAGAAAAGAACAAATGTAATACTTTCATAAAATGTTCGTCTTTAATATATTCAACGAAGAGGTGCTCACTGTACAGTTATATCGTATTGTACCAACTTCGTGAACTAAAATCACATTAATTAGAGAAGAGCCATTTGCATTTTTTATACTAGTTTAAAGTATACGAGTTGTACACGATACTGATCTATTTCTTAGAAAAGGATCCCTTTTTGTATTTGAGATATATGGCTGCGAATATCGATGATTATCGTTTGAAAAGGGAAGCTTTGCAATGACTTTCTAATTATAATTTGCCTCCAAATTTTGAATAAGCAGCCTTCATGTATACCGTTACCGGCTTTACCGTTACCGGCTTTACCGTTACCGGCTTTACCGTTACCGGCTTTACCGTTACCGGCTTTACCGTTACCGGCTTTACCGTTACCGGCTTTACCGTTACCGGCTTTACCGTTACCGGCTTTACCGCTACCGTTGCATGCCTACTAATGATCTTGTTGTCTGCTAAGTATCATTAGATCTATAAAACATCTTGCTGGAAGTATCTTCTGAGCCACACATCGCCTCGCGTGGGTCTAATCTTCGTCAACTCCGATAAAGGCTAGAGAACTCGAATCAGTCGAAAAACTACAAGTTTAAGCTAAGCAAATTTCTTAGAATAAGCCTCCAACTCGCTTGTTCTGGGTAAATCCTGAGCATTAAACATCAAAACTTTTCAAAAAGTTTTCAAAATTCTGGAACGGGAACTTATGAGGGTCAAAATTTTCCCTCAATATTTTTGAACAAGAGTCACATATTCGAAATCAACATGAAATTCTGCGACGCATGAGGTATATGAGACCTTGGCAAACCATTTTCAAATTTTTGGAAAATTTCTAGTCCCATCGGACCTTTGGAACATTCAAAAAGCTTTTTTAGTCAGAATTTTCTAAAGGTACTTCATTCGATGCAGAATCTCACACTGATCATGAATATCAGGTCGAAACTGGGAAAAGGTTAAGTTTTGGTCGAAAAAAATCGATTTTACTCATATAAGGCGTTAGCAACGTCTTTTATTAAAAGTAGGTTTTAACCTTTGGGTTTATTTTGGAAACCTACAAAACTAACTGGATTTACTTAGAAATGTTCCAGCTTTCCTGGGCGGAACAGAAATTCGGTTCAAATTAGTGTTTTTAGGTAAGAAAGTCAGTTAGGATCGAAAATTCTTGAAAAATCTGTTATTCGGCCTCATCATTTGACTTTTTCGCACACAAGATCTGAGATAACATTACCAATATGACAAAGATGTATGCAGTTTTCAATGCTCTACCCAATAATGGTAAAATGTGTTTTCCAAAATTTAGCCATTATGGGAAAACACGGTTTTTCCTACTAATGTTTTCCAGAAAACCTTATAAGATTCGATTTTCCAAGAAAAAACACCAGTTTGAAGCGGATTTCTGTTCCTTATTGTTTTATTCTGGTGTTTGGATGTCGGCTGAAACGCTCGGATGCTCGAAAACTGACCTGCACCGGTCTCTGTTCTGAACCCGAAACTTCTTTGAAAAATAATTTTCGATCTTTGTAAGAATCCTAGAGAAACGATTAAGCGAAAACTTTCTATATATTAATTAATTTTAAGCGGATTTTTTTTCGAATGTCTAATAAAAGATTTTGTAATCTAACACTTCTATTTTCACAAAAAGTTTGAGAAAAACATTGGTACCTGCAATACCATAGCCCATTATTTGAACGGATAAAATAAGAAATAATCCAAGAGCAAAATTGGTTTTTGTATCAAACAGCGTCTGTTGCGTAACAATTATATCAATTGCATCAACTGTTCCAGAAGCAGTTAACGACATAAAAACAATAAGAGCATGTTCTTTAATTGTAAATAAACATGGATTCAGTGAAAATTTCCACTTCCAAATAGAAATTGCTTTTGTTGGTAAACACCATGCTAAAAATTTTCCAATTGGATATGCTAATAAGAAAACTAAGTAATATGAAAATGCATAAGATTGTGTTCGATAATAAAAATATTGATTTACAGTTGATATAAGAACAGTAAATAGAATGCCAATTGTCCAACTTCGAAATGTTGAACATTTCATTTCAAACTGGTCTTTATTTGAAACAATACTGGCTGTTTCTTCAAACGAAGCTTGATCCGCATCAATATAATCATCAACGGGTTCTGTTGAAGTTGCTAATGTTGGCTCTACTTGAGGTGCTGCTTGAATAGAAAAGCTACTTTGTACTCCATCTTGGTTTCTGTCAGGACTGACAAGTGGCTCTCGCGAGACTTTTCTTGACATATTATTTCTGTTTCGTTTTTTTATGATATGATGTTGGTCACATAATCACTTAAAATTTTATATTCTAAAACGTAGTCACTATGAATTATTAAAGTTGTATATGAAATAATGACAGAAATGACAAAAATATGTTACAGATCGGTTTTATTGCAAATTCTATGGAGGAGCGCGGCTGCTAAGCAAAAGAAAAACTTTCGACGGACGGAAAAGGATAATATGATTAACGGGAATCTCCATCTGGGATAATCTGATGGGAAATCTATTCAACCGAGTTAGCTTTTTTTCATACAGCAAAGATTAGAGGAAAAAGACACCAGTGACAGCGATAATCAGAAATACCATATCATTAATTCGGTTGTTTGTTATGGAAAGTAAAAAGTTTTGAGAACTCTCAGATGACTTTAATGCTGATCCCAGTATTTTTATCCAGATTTAACAACTTTTTCTTTGCCGTTCTTTCAAAATTTCGATATTTCCTGGCAGGGTCAGATTGACAGTGATCCATGACGTAAGAGTTTGACTCATAGTTAAACCATAGATAGTAGAGGGAAAGACTAGATTATGAGCACAGAAAATTAGTTGGAATAAAAGAAATTTACTAATTCAATTTCAACAAACTTTTACAAATTTACAATATTTCCTATAAAATTACCAGCTCAATTTCATTCACGAACAAGTTTTTGTCTGGTTCAGTTAATGAGTACATGACTATATTTAGCATGAAGCACTTTATTACCGATAAAGAGCAACTTCACTATATTGAACTCCATTCGATACTCCTCTCTGTGCGGTTATTAATACTCTGTAACTATTA